GGCCGCCGTCGCGTGACCGGCGGACCTGAGGTCATGGACGCCGACCTGGGCGGGCTCCCGGCGCGCCGGCGGTTTCTCGGCGATGGGCGACACCGACCAGGTACCTGAGCGACGGGCCGCGGCGGCCGGACCGCAGTGCCGCGGGTGACTCGCGCGGCCGCCGTCCGGTCGTTGTTGCGTCGCCCAGGTCGTGCGCGCCGCCCGCAGCATGCCGCGAACTGCGGCCGCCGCACCGCGCAGGCACCGTCTGGCCACGGCGGGCTCGATCCGTCGTCGGGACGTCTGCTGCTGCTGTCGCTGTGCTGTAGCGCTGGTCGGCGGCAGTTGTTGCTGCTGCGGCGGTTGTTGTTCTTGTTGTTGTTGGCGTGGTGCCGGTTGGACACGCGGAAGCTGCTGAAACTCACCAACCGGCCGGGTTGCGTGCGGTGGTATTGCGACTTGGTGCGCGTCAGGTTGTTGTTGCCTGCAGCATCTGCAACACGTGCGCAAGCGCGCGCGCTCGCATCAGTCGAGCGTCATCGTACGGCGGGGACGTTAAGTCTGTACCGACGTGATGCATAGGTGTTTGGCATGGCCAACCGCAGTGGCGTAGTTTTGTTGTGGGGGAGGATGACATGCGGATATACGTCCCTCTAGAACCTTTTTATGTCTAATGCATTGACTCATACTCGTGTATATAAAATTATACCCGTATTACGTTATAATCACGGATATAATATGCAATATAAAGCCCCCCTAGTTTTATGTTTATCCAATAAATTATACATCCCTCCCCCCCAGGACCGTATTTAGGTGAAGGCGTAGGGGGGTAATCGCCCCCGGGCGCCAAATTGTAAAGGGAGCGTTAAGCCTGAAAAATATAATTAAGAAAAAATAAGATATTATTGGGTTAAGCTTCTTTTATCTGATGACCTTTTTTTTTTTTCTAGATAAACCACCGACGTGTAAAAAAAATAATTTTCAAGGGGAAAAAAGGGGCATCAATATATTTTTGCGCACCTAGGGCGCCAAAATTGTAAAGACGCCTCTGCCTCCCCTTAGAACAGTAACGGCCGGTATTCCGGTTGGAATTCTGTTTATAGAAATTATCAATAAAGCGCTCTGCACAACGCTCTCAACCGACACATAAAAACGCGAATATACCCTTCTACTGCAATCGGTCATTCCTGTAATAACGATCGAGGCCGGACAGTTTAAGGCACGAGTGCTTTTTTAAAGAAACAATAAAAGAGTAAAAAATAATCCGATTTATTTCGATAAAACCTGATGAATTATTGTTTTAAGTCGAACACCCGTGAAAGAATTATTAATTGGTCGTCATTTTAAATGTACAAGTCACATTTTCATTCGACACAAAAAGTGTTAATCCTTTTATTTCATTTTCTTTGGCCGGGTATGTGCCGCTCGCTTAACTCGCTCTGACCACACGCCACTGGTGTTAACATAACGTCTTAACCCCAGTCGCCCTAGTGAGCTAATTCGGTTACCACTTAAACACGATTTAGGAAGTGGCCCACGATTGGTCCACTAAATTTCAGAAAACCATTAAATCAATCGATTTTTTTTTTTATGTGACCCGGTATTATATTTTATACTTGTATTAAATTATATGCTGTACACTCGCACGACAATATTTTTGCAAAAAATGACAAAGAAACCTTGATGGTTTTTTTTTTTCAAATTCGGTATTTATTTAGGCAGGTATAGAAAAGACAAAAATGCTGGTTTCAATGCTTAAAAATTAAAAGTCTATTTTTTTGTAAATACTGTCATTGGGTTTTGATTAATTTAAATTTCAATGAATGAAAAAAAAAAATAAATAACGAATAAAAACGATCAAAGCCATTGATATCGCAGGAAAATACTTATTTAGGATTCACAAAATATCGGTTCTGGTCTCTAAAATATTTAAAATGGAGTTTCAGTTTTAGGATTTTCAAAAATAGTTATTTTTTGTACGGTTCACATGTGCCGAGAATATAGACGGCAATCGTTTCTTTTAAGTAAGTAGGTAAGTACTTAAAAACCACAGCATTACTTTCCCGATTTAACCATCCAAACGTATTATCGTTGATTTATAAAAAAAAAAAAAAACTTTGGCAATTCGAAAATATATTTTGTTGTTTTCCTTACAAATAAATTAATCTTTGTGATACAGCTATAAGTTTTTTTTGTTAAGTACTTTCCTTACTCCTCCTTCATGTTACGAGTGGCTGGTTTTTAAAATCTTAATATTTATATTGAAGTAACGGTATTGTTGTATATTTATACCGATTTTTTGATATTATTGCACATTTGTAAAATGTAATAACATTTTTTTTTATGTTGAGTTAATTAAAAATCACCACAACTGTAGCCGTGTTAGAAATGTTAAAATGCAGGTTAGCTGTGTTAAATATTATGGGTTTCATGCACTTAAAAAAAATAATTGATTTGATAAAAATGAGTTTATCTAAATATAATATTATTTTGACGTTTGAATAAACAATCGATTAAAAACATTATGTATAGGTAAATTTCGTTTACGAGAACACGTGGAAGAAAAACGTACCCAAGATTAAATCATATTGAAATTAAACAGTTAATTTTGTTGGCCGGAAATTGAGCCGTCGAAGTGTACTTCCTTCGATCTAAATTATATTTTATATTTGACTCAAGGAGTATATAAAAAAAAAAAAAAACAAACATCTATGATAATTCATTTATGTTGGTTATTGTTTATAATAATATATTATATCATAATTAGCATTAGGGCTCGGATTTCGTAGCAAAATAAATCCTTAAAAAATAATTTAGAGTAGCAAAAAAATAAAAATAATTATTAAATTGAATTCTAAAAAACAAATTTAAATTACACATAAAATTAAATATTATAAAAGAGATTTACGACCATATATTTGGTCTAGTTACTTTCATTAAAACTCATCCTATTGAGTGCTAATAACGATTATAAAGAAATCATTTAAAACACTATACTCACTGATTGATATTTACCGGTCAACTAAATTAGAATGTGCTATAAAAAGATATACGTAATTTAGATAATTTCAAAACTATGCAATTTCGGCACAATAACAATAGTTATTTTATCAGTCATCTATTTATTACTGTTTTTTTCACCGGTTTTATAATTTCTGGCATTAATAATATAGTATTTTTAGTCCGAGTATAATAAACATTGTAATAAGTTAAATTGTCAAGAAAAATATATCAAAATTATAAGAAAAAAAGAACTAGATAGAAGAAAAAGCAATAAAAAGCAGATTTTGTGGAAAAAAGCAAAAAAAAAGTTTACTTCATTGAAATCAGAATAATTCAAAACGTTTTTATATATAAGAATTATTTTTCTATCACACTCCCCTCAAAAGAAGCATTTGCTACAAAATCCGTGCCCTACTTATCATACATATACATTTTATATTATTCGAATTTTCTGGATAATCAAAAACGGAAAAATCGAGATACCTAAATCTATGAGATTCTTTAGGTCGGGAAAATTTGAAAAAGATAAATCAGGCTATTATTAATGATATTCGTGTTTGAAAAATATCACATCAGAAACGAACAAAACGTAAATTAAAAACCACGAAATAATATATATCTTATGACGTTCCATAATTGAATTATAATAATAATAGTGATTAATTAAAAATACAAACGGTGAGACATGTCTCACAGCGAAACGATAATTACTACACATTTTCCAATTTCCCCTGCAAACCTGTCTGAACGAGAAATTCGACATCGTCTCAAGTACATTTTTATACTTTATTTGGATGTGCTGGATTGGCCCCGTAAAGCCGGGTACCATCTGTAGTTCACGCGTGCGGCCTGCAACTGGTATATACGACTAGTACTAACTACTAAAAAAAAAGAGAAGCTGTCAATAATATAAACATAAAAAACGATAACACATATATGTTAACATATATATCATTACATCTGAATTTTTAAGATAATATTTATTTAAATATCATAAAATCAAATTTATTTGTCCGCGTTCTAAGTGGGTATAATATGTTATCTCGTTATTGTTGCCACTGCTAAGGTGTTTTACCTAAATAATAATTTATTGTCCTTACCTAAAATAAAAAAAACGCGATTTAAACTTTATAGGACATGTTGAAATTAAGTTTATGTTTAAGTGATAAATAAAATAATTAAAAAAAAAAGTTAAATCAAAAATAAAATATAATAAGGTTTGGAGGTGATGGCATATCACTTTCCGCAATTGTGCCACCAGGCTATATTAAAAACGAAATAAATAATATTAATTTATTGTGCATGGACGAGAAATAGTTGTTCGACGTTATTGGAATTCAACAAAAACGTACAGCAGCTGACTGCAAAGAAAACGACTGCGGTTGAAATACCGATTGGAAAAAAACGGTCTAGTTCGACCTTCGACAAAAATTTGACGTGCTCCATACAGAATAACTGAACGTCATTCCTTAAATGTTTTTATCCAACTGTGGTTAAACATAAAATTGAACTTGTCGGACTCGTCGTTTATCTAAATTTGCATAAATATATATAGTTATATTTTCTCTTATAGGTTTTTCTCGTCGTATTAAACTTGCGAGTCATAAAAAAAACCTCGTTTTCCTAAATGTTATATAGATAGGAACATCGCATATTCATATGCATGTAAAATATGTCACACTAGGTATTGTAATGTGAAAACATAAAACGCACGTTTTCACTTTGAAATTTGTTCCACTTTAACGGAGCATGGAAGATTCTTACAAAAATTCATCATAACCTTTTAAAAATATTAGACATGTAAACATTTAAAAAAATATTTTAATTCAAGCTGATGTATTTGAGTGCACATTTACATGTACATTATATATAATAAGTATCTTTGTATACATTTACTACATTTCAAAGTTAAAATTAAATATGTTATTTGAATGCTTAAAAGTTGAAGTTTGGAAAAAAAAATATAACACGGAATAAATAAAATATGTAAAATATATAATATATGTAGTGAGTAACAAAAAAAAAGATTTTTCGTGCTTTTTTCTGAATAATGAGCATGGAAACTGAATATACTACACAAGATAACGAATGTTTATATACATAACATACAACACATAATTACAATATATTACCTAAGTTAATAATCGAGAAAGTTCTAACGTTTCGTTTTGTGATACGACGGCGAAGAGATTATTAGCATATGTAACACATAGTTTATTTATCATAATACTTTTACATAACGTAGTGTTTTGTTTCGCAAACCGATGTGTGCTCGTGACCAAGGAACTGCAGTACGTATTTTCTGCAAGTGATGACTATACACATTATTATATTAGGTCCAAAACCGACACCCGTCAACAGCCGTTTTGGATATCTCATACGACCATCCCGTAACGGACCGTGCTGCTGCAGTGTATTATTATTGATTTTATATTCTTCGCACGCGTGTCATCACCATACATATTATGTATATCTGCACCCGCTGTTTGATCATTCCTGTAATAATATGTGCACTTTGTTGAAAACAAGGGTGATCGACGACGTCTCGCAGAAAATCAGGTGTCATCTGATCGGAAATCGAATAAAAAAAAAAAAAAAAATCAAATATACAGCGAGTTTGAACAGAATTTTTCATACGGTTGTAATTCGCTGTGTACACGATACGTACAACAGTAGAATACGTATAATCGAGAATCAGAAGGAACATTTTCAACAAAGATATATAGGTAATAAACAAATGGTGAACGATTATTGTGACTGGTAAGATGTCGTAAGATAGTACGTTGATATTTTAACTATTTATTATAATTTATAATACCTGCACTTTTTGTCTAGAGGTTTTACAGAAAAAAAAAATTCATAAAAATAACGAGAGCAAAAGAAATATTTCAAAAATATTTATGTCTCGTATTATGATAGATATTTCAAGTACCAACCATACTATATAATATATATCGACGCAAATTCAAATAACATATTTGGCTTATTTTTTTTTCTTAGAAATCCACAATAATTTCATATTGTTTATTTACCGAATTACAGTTGTGTGATTGTTTCGACTTGGAACTTTAGATCAACAATACTACGAATATTTTAACATTATTCGATTACTTTAATTTCGATCTCGTTTCGGATGACCCGATTTTCTTATTAATCACGACCATTGTTCTTTCCAACAACATATAGCCCTATAGGTAGCGACATTTAAACACAGTTGAACTGACTGTTCATAACAAAATGCAGTTAACGACACATTAAAGCCTATATGATAATACACATAATATACATATATATTATAGTGAAACAGACAAATTAAAATAACAAACAAAAAACTCCTGAAATGTTATTCTAACGACTAGACCGAGAATAGATCTTGCTAGATTTCCGTAAATATTATAACAGTTAACACACTTACATTAAATGCACCAGACAAGTTTGTAAAACGTTTCAGTATAAATCTCAAACACAACTGTTTTTGTGTTGATTTAAGTCTTTTTTTTATAACAGAGTAAATATATGTATGCTATATACGTATTGTACTATTTGTATAATAACGATATATTGTGTGTCTAAAGAATTTAAGTATAGCACTGTTATTTATGCATCTGTGAAGTAAGGACGATTCTCTTGTGATATTTTTTCTAATAAATTACAAGTTAAATACTAAAAGATGTAACAACTTTTTAAAATGAAAGATAAACATTAAAAAGCTTTTATAATTAATTTTCGAAAACTTCGAATATGTGTTTCTTTTCAAACGGAAATTCTAACTGTTGTTGCCCGTTGGTGGTTGTAGTGTAATACATAGTTTTAAATTTAATTTTTAGATTCATAAAATAAGCTTTGTTAACCAACACCTTTATGACCATATATTTATATATACAAATCAAAATAAACGAAAAAAAATAAACAATAATAATATAGTTACTAAAAAACACGAAAAAAAAATTAATTTGCAATGGTACTAACAAGTTAGGTTATATATAGGTCAAATGTTTTAATTATTATTATATAAGTACTAACATAATGTACAATTTTATCGAGATTTATCGACTTGTTACATTCATTTAAAAATATTTGTATATTTTATGTTCATAAAATAATGTAGGTAATGATTTTTATGGTCAATAAATAAAGGTTTTGACCAAAATTGTTTATAAAATAAACATCAAGATCCTCTTAAAACATTTTTTTTTTTTTTAAACAAAAGTTTCAATTAAGTTAATTCATTATTATTTATTGATACATAAACACAAATTAATTATAGTAGGCTAAAAATATAAATATACATTTTTAGAGGGTAATAAAGATATTTTAAATCTGAAAACGAACTATATGAAGTATAATTTAAAAGTAGTAACTAAAAATTGATAATAGTTAAGTATTTTAATGAAATTCTAGAGATCTTAATACATAATTTTTTTTTTTAATTTAGAGGTTTCAGATTTTTTTCACTTAATTTTCAAATCGAAAATTTAATGATTTACTTAATTTCTCTACTTGTAATTTATTCTTTCAATTATTTTAAACCTTATTACATTTATTTATTTATTCAATAAAATAATGTATTTTTCTTTGAATGATCAAATGACATTAATGTATAACGTTTTATTATTGTGCTTAAAAGTTTACGAGTATAGTCAACTTAAAATGATATACCAAATTCAAAAACATAAATAATAATAAATAAAATACTATTGAAATATATTTTCCAAAACTTAATAGCATTAAAATCGGACATATTGAGATACTAACATATCAAAAACAGCCTATATGAGTAAAACTTGATGGTATTAAACAGTTTAATAAATTACTTATTACACGAAAACTTAAAAGTGGAAATCAAGAAAGTATCATTAAAGTCCAGTTCTTAAGTTCTAAAAATATTTAGTGAAATATATACGAGTATAAACAGTTTACCAAACGAATAATTTTTATAAATTATGAACAGTTCCTATGTGAAATTCCTGTGAGTATAAATTAAAAAAAAAAATGTTAAATCATTAGGTATGCATAAACTGTACATATACTGTATAGCCTGGATAACCAGAACGAAAATCCATCTATTATTTGTGATTTTGTTGAAAAATAAAAATGAAATTATTAGCAAAATCGTTGGAGAATGAATTATTATTTATGATGACATAAAAATATGTCAAACACGCAACTATATCTTTGTATTTTTTTGTACAGTTTTTCATTTACGGAAAAACATTGGCTGTCATGAAAAAATGTGTATACAGTGAGTTTTTTAACAGTAAAAGCTCACTGAATTTTAAAGCATTAGCAGTTAAAAAAATATTTTTTATACACTTTTTAGTCATCATATTTTAACAAAAATATCGAAAAAAAAGTTTTTCTATTTTTTATCGTTAGGTACTTATAACTTTTTAAATCACAAAATGCATTTTAATTTCATATTCCGAAATAAAATTTTTTCTGATAATTTTTATAACTAAAAATCAAATTTAGCACTATTAGTTAATTATAAGTTGTAACATTGATTAAATATATTTAATCAACGGTTGTAACTTATAAGTATTTAAAGTTTGGAGTGGAGTTGAACGGTGCTGGAGTACCTTGCAAATTGTTGGTATACTACAGGTTTACCTCGCGCCGCCGATCATTTAAACTTTAAAGCTTAAAAAACAATTTAAAAAACGTTAATAGGCTTTGAGATAATCAGTATGTGCTGCTAAAATAATTACTTAGTAAATATAAATCGTTTCCATTGAAATTACTTTGCATTATGAACCTTATGATTTTACATATTTGCTAAATAAATCACGGTTTACCAATTTACATTTGAACGTTGATTTATTAAAAAGCACTGGTTTATTTGACTTTGGTAGGTAGTCGCATGGTCTTATAAATACCAAGGATAATATTATTGTTATTAATATCGATTTTTCGGTTCTCATAAATGATATATCGGCTTATCGCGTTATCACGAAGTTTGTATTATTACAATAAGAATAATGTTGTACATAATGTATATAAAATATTATTATGGCGATTATGAACTTAGGATTAAGTCGTTATAACAGTATACCACGTAAACACGGTAATACTGGCTCGATAGATATCCGTTCAATGATTGCGTGGGATTAATGTTTTGATATTAGATGATTGCATAAATAATAATATTTGAATAATAATATTATGCTGTTGTTTTCAACAGAAACTGAAAACGGAAGTTTTATATTGTGGTGGATATTTTATCCTGTGAGACATATTATAAGAAAAAAAATATATACGGGTGCGACCCTCGTATTCGATCGATTTAAGACTTCTTAAACTAACCTAACCAAGTTAATTCAGTAATAGCAAGAGGTGACGATAACTTTTTCTTAAAGTCAAGGGAGGGTTCATTAAACATCATAGCTATACATAAATATTCAAGTTATTATTGGTAGAAAATCAGTGAAGTCGACGAAAATAAAGCAGTCTTAATTATCTTTTTCCTTTGTAAAATTGTGTGAAATAAAGTAATAAATTCTCCTTATTTCTTTTCAAAACTTATTAATATGTATCTTGCTCTCCACGGAAATTTTGGACAGATGCATTGTCAAATATTCGGTTCAACGTTTAAAAAAGTTGAAGACCTCCTGGCTTAGCGGATAAAGGATATCAGGTGTTGTACAATAAAAAAATCACCCTGTATACCATATATAAATCCTTTACGGGAATCTTGTTGACCCCAAGATTCGTGTTACACGTAATACGTTTTTGCACAGACATCGCGTCATTATTATATCTACACTCGCGCTGTACACAATATATTATTATATTCACAACGACGGGTTCAAAGTATCAAATTATTACTGTGATAACTAAATCATGAACAGATTCAATAAATAACATATTATACCGTTGTCTATCTATCTATTTATCTATTTATATGGATAAAAATGAATGTTGTTTTGTCCCCTCGATAGATACTTCGAGACTCGGAGAGTATTTATAGTTTATTTTTCAACTCCTATAGGCCGCTATATTGTAGATCATTAAATTTATGCGTGTTATTAGTTTTGGTTCCCAAAGATCAAACATTTATTGGCTTATTTAAATAGTTGCCATCGATTATAGATTGTATTATTTTATCATAGAAATATGGCACGGTCAATTTTTTACAAATATATTTGAGAAAAAAAATAAATCTTAAAGTCGAACGCTTATAATTGTTTTTTGAAGACAGATAAAGCAACAACATAAAAAAGACACCTTGTGATCACGTCCCACGTCGTTCCCCTTCAATACGTCGTCACTGCAGATTTATATGTAAATAAAAGATTACGCCTATAACGATGGCAATGCCAATACATAACGTGTTGGTAGTTTTACTGGTCGGTGGTACGTACACCTATACGAGTATATTATTATTATTGTGCGCGTATATTTACAATGTTCATATATTGTAATAGCCGGCGCTCTAAACGATTATAGAGTAGGCAATACTAAATTAGCGAAATGTTTTGGTATATTAATGCAAATGTTTCGTTATTAGTTAATGGGAACAAGATTAATGAGATCCAATTCGGCGGTGAAACCGTAAATAATTACGATGTATTACCATTGCGGTATACAACAATACGGAATAACAATAATCATAATTATTATTATATGACCGCGTTCCCCACGATATTATAATCTCGAGCGTGTGTTTACGTACACTTAAAACACATAACGACGCTATAATAACATTGATCGGCATAATGTGTACTGTATAATATTATAAACGTATCATATCGCCACCACGTGGTATACATTCGAGTCATTACACGCGGCGATATTTTTATTTGGGATTTCGTCTCGAATCTACCGAACAGTTCAAAAATCGCGATTTGTTCGATTCGTTGTTCGTAGGTATACTCACTGATTGCACAATAATGACAATACAACACCTACCCATACCGTTTAATAAAGTGGCCAAGCTCGTTAATCAATCGCAATATAAAACAAAACGGATAAGTCGAAAAAATCTCGGCAGACAAAAGCGTAATAATACTACGTACACCCTTCTCTCGTTATTTCAATAATAATAACAACAACAAAGCCGTACGCCCGTACTGATTATTTTATTTATTAGTGTTGTTAGTAGAAGCGCACTCACGATGAAAATGTCTTTTTTTTACTGTGTTTTGCCGGCGTCTGGCTTGCACCATCCCGTAGACGACGGTCGCCAAGCTGCTGATCTGACTCGACTGTCGGCTCAGGTTGTTCGCCACGGCTCCCTTTTTGCCCACCACGAAGTACGTTTTCATCTCGCCTTTGCCCTTGACCGCGATCGAGCCCCGAAACTCCGCCTCGTAACCTTTGTCCATCAGGATCTACACCAGTGATGATACTTATTAACAACAATATAATTATATTAATAAACGCAGACAACGATATGTTTGAAAACGCGTCAATATGTATAAGCACATTATATAATTTTTTACGCAGATCAAAAATCGATTATGGTTCTGTAATTCTTATAAATACAAATTCTAAACGATCAGATGAAAACAATTTTAAAGAATACCAATGGACATAATTACATATTTAATTGGACGGGCTGCACTTCGTTTTACAGTAGATACTATGCAGTATACATTTATGTAATTATCGTATAAATTGTTGCAGTTATGACATTTAATTATAACACCTATTATATTATGCATGAGCCAAAAACGCTGCTTCACCGTTTGATCGTGCCCACTACCGCAAGTGAAATTATTGTTTCTCATCACGATGATCAAATTCCAGTCATATCGCCTTGATGTGTCATATTGAATTACGAGAAATGTAATTTTCCGGTAGTACACTTTACCAGTAGATACCTCTATATATTATGATTACCTACTGTATTATACAAGTAGTTAACACACATTCAAAACATTAATAATAATTTTATAATCATGTTTTAGTGTTGCGTGTGCGTGACAACATTTGCACACAAACCGCGCGCGGGACATTTTTGCATGCGTGTTACAAGATGTGACAAACGATTCTGCAAAATATAACCGTTCAATAATTGTTTTGTGTACTTATACCAAAGGGTTGCGCGTTTCACCTCCCTCACATGTATAGATTGTATGCTGCTGCGCGTGACGACGAAGACGGAGCCGTGCGTTATCGAAAGAAAAATAGAGTTCAAAGTTTAAAATGTTCGACAGAAGAATATGTTTACATAAATTTACGTAGAGTGTTCTGCAGAACAACAACACAGGTAAGGTACCTATGTGCCTTGCGTGTCTACACTATATGTTGTAACGCGCGCATCACCGTAGTGGCATAGTCCAATAAAGTGAATTATTTTGTTTACTTCGATGGATCTGGATGGTCATCTAAAAGGATAATATGCTTATAGTGTACCTCTGTATATAACACTATTTTACTTTCCGAATTGATCCGTAGTATCCAATTTTTATTTAAAAACGAAATATCATGAATAATGCATGAAACGCACGCGTATATATTATGTAATGTACTTACCCACCTATATGTTATATATTATTCTCCGATACAAACTTATTACTTTTCATCGTATCTACTTGTGAATTTTTATTTTATTCAAAAATATTTAAAAACAATCTTCACAGACAAATAACATAATTTGTGAAACTTTTACTCGGAAAATCAATTAAAAAAAAAAAAATAATAATAAAAACAGTGGGTTACAGTTGTGCCGGTTACAATTACATGAGCGGATATTTTTGATCTTACAAAACGATTTTAATAAGCAATCTAAGTTAATCTCGGCTTACCCAAATAAAATAGGTCAATATTATTTTTTAGCCAGGTACTAGAATATATTATTTTTGGAGTTCTTTCCATAAACTATATTGATAAATTGGTAAAAAAAACTTTCTTAAAGTGAAATTTGTATGTAGGTAAGTACATAGGTTCTAACGTATAAACTTTTAGATAACTTGGCCTCGTCGAGCAAAAAATATTAAAATAATTGAATTTGGGTAAGTAATGCATTGATAATAAAAAAAGAGTTTAGTCTGGTTAAGAGTTGTGTATTAGTTTATGAAACTATGCGCATAAAGTATAACTTAGGTATTCATATAAACATTTCAAAGAACTTATATCTATGCAATAGAGTTTTATTATATTTTTAGGTGAAGATGCCGTAACCAATAATTTAATAATTATTGATAATATAGTTTTAGTTATAAGACATTGATGATCATTTTATTAACGTTATCTACAGTTAAAATAAAATGTCGATAATAACTATGTTGTTATTAAATAAAGGAAATTATAAATAATATTTCAAAGTATCTATACCTATTAAGTAAGGTTTTATTATGTTTTATTCTAAGGTACAATCACATAACTACATTATGCTATATATGTTATGTAGATTTATGAATTGATATTATATGATATTGACATGTATAACATGTGATGTTCTTAATTATATCTATGTAATATAAATTGCTATGGTTACCTGCCAAAAATGTTTAAGATGAATAAAATTTCAAATCGAATTTATGATTTGTCATTTGTTGTATGTGTAAAAAATATAACTAAAATAATTTAACAATACATTAAATAACAATGTTTTAATGTTTTTGTACGCGATTCGTATAGTTTATTACATATATATAATTCTTTTATGTTAAGTATACGCGTCATGTAAATTATACATAATATTTTATTATTAACGTCGAAATGCGATTGTTATTTTTCAAATTTTGAAAAATGACATGAAACTACTTCCGAACATAAACCTTGGTCATTATAGTCGATGAAAAAAACATAAAAATATTAAATAAATGCGAATAACGAAAAGCGACGCCGATTTGGCATGCCGCATGATGTAGATATAAAACAAATTATAATTTCAAAACGCCATTCGTAGTGGCGTTAAAATTAATTCAATTTCACAATTCTTACTTTGGCCGTGCCCTCGGGCACTTGTATGCGGCCCATAGTGCCTGTGGAATCCATCCTGGAAGCCTCGTTCACGGTGTTTCCCCATATGTCGTACACGGGTTTCCGCGCTCCGATGACTCCGCCCACTAGGGCACCGCAACTTATTCCTGTCGGACACGAATCGATCGAAATAAAATAACGTTGATCAAAGGATGTAATCTATATTCCGTATACCATTTTGAATATACGCGGTTTGATGTCTACATAATATTGATCATCACATCATTTACATTAATTTTGTTATACTTTGACAGTTTGATGTATATTATTCTATCGAGTGACCCTCACTGTGTGTTTATTCTAATATCCCCCAGACCAGCTATAGATGCATAATAATATGTTTATAATGTATATAATATTTACATTCGTCCAATCGCCTGGCTCCAGACTATCAATTTTAAATATTACATTATTTTTAGCTAGAAAATTGCCAATTTCAAATGTTTAAGTGATATTACGTTTATTTTATAAGCGAATCAAAAGTCTGAACGAATTATAATTATAATATGTATAAATAAATACATTATACTATGTATAGGGTGTTTCATTAAGAACGCCGGATTTAATTCCGTTATTACTTTATTAATATCAAATATTAAGAACAAAAAAATTATATGAGCATGAAGTATACACACTCCGATTTATGTATGGAATATAATATCTAGCATATGTCCACCTCTGCTTCGCTGGTAAGCTTCAGTTCTGGCCACAAAACTGCCTATCACACGCTGACACATATCCTGGTTTAGTTCATCAATAACACGACGAATTTCATCCTTAAGTTCTTCAATGGTTCGCGGTTTATTTTCATAGACGTGAGCTTTAACGTAACCCCAAAGAAAGAAGTACAGTGGGGTTAAGTCACATGACCTGAAAATTATTGGAAATTTAAATCCGGCGTTGGGTGTTTCATTAAGAACGCCGGATTAAAATAAACATAAATATTAAATATTATAAATATATTATATATATATTATAATATATTATTTAAATATTATTTAAGTCCCACTGGACTTCTTTCTTTGGGGTTAGGATAAAGCTCACGTCTATGAAAATAAACCGCGAACCATTGAAGAACTTAAGGATGAAATTCGTCGTGTTATTGATGAACTAAACCAGGATATGTGTCAGTGTGTGATAGGCAATTTTGTGGCCAGAACTGAAGCTTGCCAGCGAAGCAGAGGTGGACATATACTAGATATTATATTCCATACATAAATCGGAGTGTGTATACGTACTTCATGTTCATATAATTTGTTTGTTCTTAATATTTGATATTAATAAAGTAATAACGAAATTAAATCCGGCGTTCTTAATAAAGCACCCTATATGATTATTATAGTGATTATAGAAAAATAATTGTGTCCGTAAACGGCATTAATTTTTCGAAAATAATAGTATACTTCAAAAGAATCAGTAAAAAAATATATAAATATAACCGGAAGAAGCTTTATGAAATATAATAGGGTTATAATTTTATTTTTGGCCATATATTATTCGCAAGTAGTATAAGAACATTGTATACAGCACGAGCACATATTTTATTTTACAATTGGTGTCATGGATTTTTTTCCTATCTTTAGGAATCTATTAAAATAATTATTATACAACAGCCGTTGCTTGAAGTATGCACTTGCAGTCATTTTATTATTTCTTCTTTTTATTCATAGTGAAACGTATTATATTAATAGTTTAATGTTAAATACTGTATTAATATTATTTACGGAGCCACTTATTAAATTAATATTAACAGTTCTAATATATGTGAAATATAATATTGAAACGGTAATCGAGTTTGTTTTTATGATGTCAGTTTGTTGGTTTGATCATAATGAACATAATGTAGTGTATTTGTCTCCATCAATTTTAAAAATAAACAAACTATTTTTTTTTACTAATTACTTACCAACCCTGAGCTGAAAATTATTAAAAGAGTGCACATTGACATCTTGTAAACATTGTTTCATTGCTAATGCGAAGTCGACAAGAGCGCAAAGGTGACCGTATTCGTCTTCTCCGTCCTAAAACAACAATGTTATAAACATATATATTAATATTATTGATTATTTAGAGCTAAATTAAGTTTTTACGCATTAGCCTTTAAGCTATACAAGGTCGAAAATAATATAAATTGTGGAAATTTAAATCAAACACAGAGAAAATATTTCTATTTATAATAATGTTTTCAATAAAATATTATAACTTATAAGTTATAACTAGAGCAAGAACTTTCATGCACTAAAAAGTCATTTAATATGCATTTAAAAATATACACTTATGCATCAAAAAAATTAAAAAATGTAGTTAAATATGCCCTCAAAAAAATTAATACACTAAAATTTATAATCTAAAAATCATATTTTTTATTTAAATATTTAATTTTGATAATTTTATATTATCTCTCTATAAGTTTTAACTGAATTTGATATCACTTTATTGTAATCTAATCTACAACTATGATAAAATGAGTCTCTTTCATCTTAATGAGAATATAGAAACAGTTAAATATAATAATTTGTGTCTTTAGTTATGAAAAATATTCACTGAAAAACTTAATTTTCGAAAAACCTTCAAAATATGCAATACAAGCTAAAAACATGCTCTTATAATTAAAAAATATGTCCTTTAATCCCAAAAATGTATTGTGTTCTTACTCTGCACACGAAAAAGTCAACCAGAAAAAATATGCGAATGCATGAAAGTCCTTGCTCTAGTTATAACTATTAGTCGATATTTTTTTTAATTTTTAAATTATATATAAATGATTTTCAAATAATTTTCAAACAAATATGCATTAAAACAATGAAAATTTATTGTGATTTTACGTTTTTAAAAACATTATAAAAAAAAAAAAATTGGATTTGACGCAGCTATTGGATATAAATGATATAATATTACAGAATATATAATAATATCAATAATATTCTTACTTTAACACCAGGATTTAACCCGGACGCGGCCATGTAGCTCGCACCGACGGTTTTGATTTTCTCAATCGAACCAAATCTCGGTTCCGATAATAATTCGTCGAAGTCAGCTGTAAAAAAAAAATTATTGATGACATTTAACGAACATCGTAATTTATTTATCGTACCACAAATTAATCATTATACATTTGTGTTCTCAAGTTTGTTATTAGTACGCTTGTAATAAAACCTTAAGACAGTTAAAAGTTTAAAAGTATTTAGTGTGAGAAAGTTTTAGTAGTAGACACCCAACCCTATGTATTTCCTAAGGAAAAAAGAAAACTTAACACCAACCAACGCTTTATATTATAGTTCATTAAGCACCGCATGTGTGATATATTACAATTTAGGCCATGAATGAGACGGTAATAATGATAATAATAACTATACTTTATACTTTATAGTATATCACAGCGCGTATTTAGGTAAGTGACAGTTTTAATCGAATCCAACATATATACACTTAACCAACACAATACGTATAATAAAACAGCAGGTACTCACCGTGTGCATGACATAAAATATATTATGTATAATCTATTTATGCATAATGTATATAATGTATATATAAATAATATATATATATATATTTATAGATCACGTGACGTCAAAAATGACGCCCGTTCATATAGTCTCGACTACCCGGATTACAGATTTCATATTGTACAACTCCCCCCCCCCCCCTCTCTTCCCCGAAGATAGCAATATGATAGATAAACGGGTAAAAGAGGCTAAATAATATCATATTTTAATATGAGTATAATACTCGTTTTCTATGTACGTACATGTATATACCAAAAGGTCATAATACTATATAGTAAAATATAAACCGTGTTTACGCCTCACGTGTGCTTACCAATTATTTCGTTCAGCAATCTGATGCACTCCATGCCTTTGTTTATGTCTTCTGAATAAAATTCTGTAAAATTTGGAATGCTTGCAAACATGACGCCAACTTTGTCGATGGACTGCGAGTATAGTTCCTATGAATACAAACACGTTTATAAATGCAACTGAATGAGATTCGTTGTCACAAATATAAGTGGCATATCCATTAGTGCATGTCCGAGGGGGTTGCTTTTTAGACATATTTGTAGTTCAGAACCACATTTTTATGGCGTCTAGTGTCTACCCTTCCAAGCATTATGATATGTTTTTATTTCAATTTTGAACCCTCGCTCCTACTTACGTCAGTAGTGTGCCTGCGTGAGGATGACAAGAAATGGTGGGCGACGTGATCGGGCAATATATTGCGCAACAGTTGTCGGTTGTTGGTCCTGGTCTCGCGCATCTCGGTGAGTTCCCGTTCAGCTTCCCGTTTCCACAGAAAGTCTAGTCGAGAAGTGACCTCTACTAGCCGGGCATGATAGGCCACCAGCACCAGGAACACGATCAACAGCAACAGCATCTGCGACGATAACGGCATGGTCCGGTGCTCAGTGTCGGTCTGTGAGAATACCTGGGGGTAGGCTAGCGACGTGAGTCCCGTGTACACAGCCACCATGATGGATGCCAGGAAAGTCTTGACCAGGAAGTATAACTTGAGCGTGGTGGCTAAGGCTATTAGACACAGGACCCATGTGAACACCAAATACTCGGGGTGCACACAGTCGTTGGATTCTTCGGTCCGCCGTTTCGTCCTTCGGCCGTCGCCGTCCAAGTTGTCTTCTTTCCGGATCAGGTGCTCGTCGGGCGTAAACAGCTAGATTATATAAATGTAAATAAACATGCACGAAATCAACTGGTTTGGACGGTTTATTTATTTTATTTTCGTTTTTTTTTTTTTTAATATCGAACACTGAACGAACCGATCGTCAATATTAATAAATATTTGACAAGTTAAACGAATAGAATGTACTCACTCAGGTATTTACCTAACCGTAAATGTACGTTGTTTAATTATTTTTATTTCACTTGAAAGTACAACGTGATATTTAGTCGGATTTTGTGAAGCCGTCTCCAGATGGGAGACTCGACGCTCGTGTGTCAATTATTAACGACAATGTAATCGAGATACTTACGAGACTCAGAGTAGAAGAAAAACATATAAGTCCGACTACAGCGCAAATGAACATTGTCCGCCTGAACCGGTTTTGCACCAACACTGAGGACATCCTCTGCAAAGCGGACGGCAAGTGCATGAACTCTTCTGCCATGACAAGTGTCAGTGCAGCACAAAGCACAACGGTGGTGAATGCTAAGGCGACCAATAGTTTCATGCATCGGGGCAACATGATCGTTTGACAACATACAACCAGCAGCCATATGATAAAACAACACGCCATGTTTGATTTAAACATGTCCTCGCGTAACTGACAAAACTAAAAATAATAATATTTAAGTTGTATGATCAGTGGTTAAAAACAAATGCACAACATCATTCTGTTATCAAAGGTACGCCATTATATCATAATAGATTTAAGATTTGTATTGATATGTTTGTACTGGTGAGAAATTTGTTTTAATACACTTTACCAATATTTATTATTATAAACGTTATGAAGACAATCGATCAAAAATGATTCGATAAATAAATTTAATATTCTACAACAGATTCGTGAACTTACTTTAGTTTCAATTTCTGATTGTTTGAACCTTAAAGTCCATCGATCTATGTTTTCATTTCTCATTCTTTCATTACTCTCCACTTCGATACAATGATCCATAATGTCTTCGGCGTGTTCGAGGTCTCCTTCAATTGTGATAGGAGTACCACATTCACCATCGTCCATTTCCAGTCCTTGATCACTTGTGTTTAACTTAAAAAAAAAAAAAAAATGAATACATTCAACTTAATTTAGCTTTAATACATTTTAATATTTTAGTAATTTAAACTTACGTTTTCAAATGGTATTTCCGGAGTCCATTCATTGCATTTGCTATCATCGATATAATCCTCTACAAACCATACCAAACTTAAAATTATAATAATCATTGTAAATAAAATATACCCTATCCCCCATAGTAAATTTGGATTTAATCCGAGCATTCATTGTGGATTATAATGCTTAAAACTACTATTTCTAATTATTCGATGTCTCTGTGTTAGAGATATTTAATAAGAATTGCCTCAACAATTTATTTGTTCATAATACTTTTACTGTTAGTTGATATTTATTAATATTTGGGGTATAGGTTTAACCGTTCTTCCTATTTTCTATCGATTCCACTAGCTACTGTTCATAATATTTACCTATCGAGCATTGATTCTAAGGAGAAATGAATTAATACGTATACATTTTACAGTAAAAATCAATTTTAAAAGAGTTCGTAGATATAAATTGTTTTGAATAAAACATTCAGTAAAATATTAATGTGATGGGCGACTTATGCATTTTTTATTTAATATTTGTTTTATAAATTTAAGATTATGTAGGGTCAACAAAATATGTCGGTTTATAGGGTATACCTAATAACAGTATCAAGTATATAGTATTTGATGGAATCAACAGATTTCAAATTTTTGATCAAATATTTTTTGTCGCTGTGGTCTGAATATAAAGTTAACTGATTCTATTGATAACCCTAATGACTATTATTTATCAAATCACGTTTTTTAATAAATTGTAACTATCGAATCGAAATACTTTCAATTGTACTTATTGTTAAATTATTTAATCTAGATACATTTTCAAGACAATAACACGTCAGGTGTCTACATTGGTAATCAAACAGAAATCAAATCTATAAATATCGGAAATAGTTTGAGCTCTGCAGACTCGAAACCACAATAAAGATCTTTAAAGGTGATAATGGAAAATCTTGTCTGAAATGTCAAAATACACGAAAACGCTCCCTAAAGATATCACGAATTATATAAATTCTACAAATATTTTAAATAATAACTACAATAACATAATTTTTATGAATTATACTTATTACAGACAGTTTGGTAAATTTTAATTTAAATAAAAAAATAATAATTTATTGTTAAATTTCACGAATATGAACCATGCTTCTTACTTTTTTGCATTAATTTATTTAGTAATTAAATTAATAAAAAAAATATACGTTAACATTTTTGGTTTCATTATTTTACATATTATACGCCAAAATACTCTTTAGTAAAAATGTAATTAATATTAAATAGTACGATAGGATCTTGATAAAAATAAATAATATATAAAAAAAAAAAACTAAAGAAATCTTGTGATAATACAGCTGTAATAATAGTCAAGATGATTGATGACTTATGTAGGCCTATAACTGTAAAGCTTTAACGAGGTTAAAAAACTCAAAATATCTTAAATCTTAACCAACCTATTTTTAGCGACTACAAAACTTTTACAGACTAAAGATGTATACATACTGCCGAATGTCCAATTAATTCTTGATAATATTATACTTAGTATACGCCGGATATGGTGTTTAAAAAATAAATATAATTTATGAACATATTTATATATTATTATTTTAGCGCACAATATTCTTTATCTCTGTAAAACCAAACCCAATCTGCCATTTAACGAACTTACTTGTACTAACAATATTGAACAACGCACATGTACGGAATGGCCCACACTATACTATTATTATAGCTGTACTGAATGTATCGTTGCAGTACCGTGAATATTATTACTAACTTTGACTTATGTGATGATACAATATTTATTATTTAAATTAAAACAATGTGTTTATTGTTGAACAACATAAAGTTAACTAGGTACGTGTGTATGTAAATATATATGAATCATGTGTTGTGGCTAGCGATTTTGTCCCACGGCATGTTTGTTCGAATAAATTAATAAATTATGCAAAGATTGATAAGCCGATATTATAGATATATACTTTAAATAAATTAAAAGTAGTCATTTTACTATACATCGTACATTTTGAGATTTATTGTTTTTTAGAGTGAACTATAAATCGGACTGCAAAAATAAGTTTAAATAAGTATTTAACTATAACATTATAGGCATGTTAATTGGATAATTCAATCGACGAAAATATCAGTTATAGTTATTATTGATCAACAAACAATGACAGCAGATACCTATAAGTACAGGTATTAATATAGTGTATTGATTTGAATCGTTTAAATTATAAATAATTCAATATAAAATTATGAAAAATATTCGTATACCTACCTATATATTTTTATATTAAGTGAGTATTAAATTATTGTATGTTTAATAAATGTAAATAATATACCTGTTATACCTATTAGTATATTTATTCCATTCATGAAATATCAATTAGCCGATAATTAATATACTAGGTATTCTATTACTATGTTAAGTTTTAAGCATTTAGTTTATTTAAATTAATTTAATAGACAATAAAATACCAATTTTTGGTGATATTAGATTCTGCGCATTTGAATTGAAACATAATTTCTCGTCTGACCACAAGCGCGGTCTCGAAGAATTATTTTTTTGTAGCTTTCTGTGACCTCGACAAGGTTCTTGTTCCTTAATCAAGAACGTTTCAATCCCGTGATCCTGCAGCGTAATAAAATACAATACCGTGTCATATTTGGATAATTTTGAGTAATTGTAATAAATTATGATAATTATACCCTCAAATAAGCATCGCGATTTTCCCCGTGACCGGGTTCTGTATCGTAGGCTTCTTCTAAACAATCTAGAGTAGCCTTAGATATGTGAACACGTCTAAAACCGAACGGTTTGTAATAATTAACATTAAAGTTAACGTGGCAAGAGAGTAAACGTTTTAAAAATATACCCAGGTATTCCGCCCGACTCCAAGTGATTGGCTAATGTCACATCGTAAGACCACACGTCAAATTGCCACTTTCTGAGTCCTAAGACGCCACATAGAACTGACCCTGAATGTATTCCGATGCGCATATTTAGATCGACCTGTTTGAAATCCAAGAATTTGGTGTTAATATTTTTATTTAATTGACGCGACCTATTTTATCATGGTCGATTTACGTTCAAATTAATCACGCCGTATGCGCCTGAAATTATTTTTAACATAAACGAGATAAAGTCGTGCAACGTTAAAATTTTTTTTAAACGTTGTACAAACACATTAGCTCTTGTGCCTTATCCATAACCTTTTAATAAATAACTAATTTAACATCAAAAACTAATGCCACCATGAGTGGTAACGTATTTTAAGGGTATGTGTTCACATTGTACGCAATGTATATATGAATGAATATACAACTAACAAATCGGTGTGTAGATTTAAAAAAAAATTTTTTTTAATCACAAACGGGTTACATCATTTACAAGTGTAATTTTAATTTATAGTATTATATGTTCTTACGTTCAATTTATTCCGTACTTCCTTAATCGCGTTTATCATATGTAAACCCATTTCTACACAACAAACGGCGTGATCTTGTCTAGTTTGAGGAAGACCTGAGACACAATAATAACAATCTCCCAAAAGCTTGATACGAAGACAATGGTTTTCCTAATTAACAGATTTAATAAGTTATAAATTATTATCATTAATAAAATGTATTATTTTTTAATAAAAATGTCGTACTGCAGCTAGTTTATCGAAATTAGCGAATAGATCGTTCAGTACTCTGACTAATTCTTGAGCACAAGTACGACTCGCCCACTCTGTGTAAACAAATAAAAATTTAACAGTAGGTTAGACAGATTTATAAATATATATTTTCATGAATTTATGTTTAAAATTTTTATTAGCATAGTTTCAATAATATTTACTAAAAAATAGACTAATAAATATTTAAATAGATAACTATTAATTATAAATAATATAATCATATAACTAAGAAACTACATAATGTATACGATAAAAAAAATGTATTACTTTTATTGCTTGACAAATTAAAACTATGTAAACTGAGTAAATTAGGTATAACTAAAAACTATTAAAATATGTAGCGTATAGGATTTTGTAAAATAATCAATTAATTTAAATTATTTTAAACAAAATATTTACATCAAACGATTAAGTATTGATATATATATAGATTGTAAATACTTCACTGACCTGTAAAACCTTTAATGTCTGCAAACAAAATACTGACGTCTTCGTAGCGATGAATGTAGATTCGGTGAAATTGATTTGGCATAAAAGGTCCTTTGTCCGTTTCAGAAGCAATATCTTTAATTATTTCCCTAGCAACGAAATCTGGCAAAACTATATCAAACAAAATATGTTAATAACATTGAACAACGACCGATTTGTACAACAATATATTGTGTTGTCAGCCAACCCGAGAGTAAAAGTTTTTCTTGTTGTTCGTTTTCCTTTTGGGTTTTGAACCGGGCTTCGGTGGACCTATGCGTTTCTAAAAATGCTTTTCGTTGACTTCGGTCCGTTAAGTACTTTGTATACATTCCAGCAAAGTTGACGGCAGCGTACAATAGACCCATTGCGGTTAGCTGGCGAATGACGCACAGTCTATTCTGTAATGGTGGAAAAAAAAATGTTAAAAATGTTAAAAATAATAAAAATCTTTAAGCTAGGCTTATAATATGGTAATGAATCATTAGTAATGAGACACGCGAGGCCATTATTATTGTTACTTTATTGTTGCTATCGCACATTTTAGGTGAGTAGCAAGAACGTATTCATACGATGACCAGTTGTTACAGACGACTGGTTAGTTATTTTAGAACTAAAACGTCTATAATATTATATATTAATACATTAAATTATGGGTACTATAAAAATTAAATCAAAACAATTTTTCGATATATTTGTTATTGAAAAAGAATTATCAATGTTTAGAAATACCAAGAAAAAAAAAATGATAATATAATTGGCAAGTATTCATAATGCGAATAAACACATCGGGGCTTTACCAGCACAAAAGTAGGTGTGAATTATTGCGTATTATTCAAAAGTAGCTAATCGTGTGCGACTGGTATTGGCCAGAGGGAATTCTAATGTTGTTTGTAAAGTTTCGATTTTATATATAGACATCATCGTAGCACACGACAAGAGAACTCGGACCTGCGCTGCTTGTCCAATCGATGTATCGATTAGGTAGCTGAATAATTAACGCTAGAAAATTACTTTTTCTTTTGATGATTTTGTGTAACTGGTGATGAGTATGTGTAATAGTGCGGTCGAACAACCGGCCAGTATGCACCATCTCAACGGAAGCGGTAGCATGGCATAAGTAACGAAAACGATGAACAGCACGTACCACACTAGATATTCTCTAGATCCTTGACCATAACTCTCCCATACGAAACCTTTAACACAACACATAATATAGAATTTAATAAAATTGTCGGATATATATTATTATACAGTATACTTAATTACTGTCTATGTACCAAAGCCACGGTGACATAATATGCAATTACGATTTACGGACACCCAGATGGGTTCATTATTACATAGAGTGATTTACCGGGTCAACTCACTCCTATGTTTTTTTCAGTACCTAATTAATTTATTCATATTCTAATTTTTGAAATTTTCAAATAAAAACAAAAAACACCATTTATAAAAAAATGTATATACCATATTTTCAAGTTATTGATATATTTTGTACCACTCAAGAAGTGTTTTATGACGATAGAAATTTGTTTTTCAAATGAGAATAACTCTTCCTTTTTTGTCAATTATTTAGTAAATAATTTTATTGACAATTTTGATTTTTACTCTAACCTGATCATTTAAAATTATAAATTGATGTATACTGTGATAAAAGTAACTAATTGTTTATATATACCTATTACGTCTAAAGGTAATGTAGCTCAATTTTTACAATATTATCACATCAGAAGAACTAATACCTACTTACATTATGCGTGCTATGCAGTTTATCGTTAACGTTATGCTATTATGTATTTTTTGTTATAAGTAGTAAATACAATATATTATCGCGTGGTTACCTTGTATATTAATGAAACACCACGTGAAAACGGCTGCCCACTGGAGATAGTTATTGGCAAAGCATTTCCACCAACCGAGCAGACATACGGTGAGATTGGCGAACATTGTCAGACACGTCCATATGGCCCTTTGGCTATGGTACGGCTCGTGGTAGGTCGGCAACAGCCACACACCTGTTTGCGTAAGAAAATCGTCAGTTATTGTAATGTACATAAATCGCGTTTAACAATAATATTTTATGGGCGCGTGTAAATTCCACAAATTGCGACTTTTTTAGACCGTTTTTCATGTAAATTCCACTGGTTTGTTATTTATATCTGAAAAAAAAAATGTAAATTCCTTCGGTACATTTTTATTTTTATTTAGATATTCGGGATTTACCCTTTTACATTTGTGATAAATTAATTAGTATTAAAGTATAGATATGATATAAAATTATTAAACACGCAACAACAATAAAACAATAGTTAGCAATAATATATTAAGTTACAATAGATAATAGAAACATAATTTATGTTCAGATTTCTTATTTATACATACAGGTAATATATTTAAAATTTAGATACTTATATTATGTTTTAAACAAATTTAAAAAAAATATGTATTAATTAATAGTGATCACTAGTTAGTGTAGTTAATTATTTTACCGTCGGTAAAGTTAACATGTTTTTAGATCAAAAATATGTACAGGTGGAATTTACATGTTTTAAATGCAACACAAATATCGACTACCTATAAATCGGTGGAATTTACAATCGCCCTATTTTATTTAATAATTGCCGTGATGACTATATTGTTGAAAGTGGAAATCTCTCGTTCGAAAGCATATTTGTTGACTATATGTTTTATATTATTAAATGTGCGTGGACCATACTTCTTAATATCATAGATTTAAAATAAATAATAATAACAGTACAAATGCGACGTGACGCTATTACTATATATGAATGGTGTTGTACTAACGGTATATTATCATAACTTCTTCGTTATACATATTACTTTATAGTATTGTGTTATTATTTTATTTTTACCTTTGAAATTTCTTCAATAACACATTTAATCAATAGTCGAAATAATTTTCGTAAATCTGAAAGACATTTTACCGGCTAAAACTGCTTTAAGTGTCATGTCGACGAAATTAACGATGATTAAGGACTTCTGCCGTTGTCTGTGCGAGTATCTTTGATACGATAGCTCAAGACTGGGTTTTCGAAAACTGTTGGTGAGCGTTGGACAATAAATGCCTTTGTAAACTCTGCCTTTTTTGAACACAGGATCCGTGTACTCGACTGTAACAAATAATAATTACACCATTAAGCATGCCGGCGCATCAAGATTAGTATTACAACAGTATAATACCACTATAATTGATTATGCGCTACACTGTAATCGATGATCCGAAAAAGTTATTTATTTTTTTTAACATAAATTATGAAGTAACAGAATTCATTTAAAATGCAGTCGTTCGTAGAGGTTATTTAAGGAGATTATATATTTAAAAACTACCAACGTAATAATGTTGTCATTAAAAAATATCCTTTTTTAAAAAAATTTAAATATTACTCTTATTAGTACCTAATTACTCGAAAAATTTTAAGAATATCATCAGCCTCTATAAAAATTACTAGATTTTTCATTGTTTACGTTGTAATCTAGAGAGTACATACATTTTTCAGTAACTAAAATAAAAATAATTCATATATACGCCGTTTTCTCGGGATTAAACAGGTTTCTCTTTAATAATGTAATTTATAATGTATTACAACACGTTAAAAAGCCGGCGAAGTCGCTCCGCTGTATAGTAAATATTGAGTATACTTCGTCATCGAGTAAATCACTGTAATAGAGGTGTTAAATTTTAATTGAATTACTACTCATACATTTTTTGTAAAAAACAAAAATTATTGATAAATTATCACTCTGTTAAATATAATACTTAACTACACCTTGCATGTTTAATAATAGGTGCCTACGCAATATTGTATTCTTACATAATATGCACATACCGATTCTAAACCATGACAAAACAAAGTAAAAAAATAGTGAATGTAAAAAAATCGAAAAAATATGAATGAAGTAAGTTGACATTATTATACGAAATCGAAAACAGCGAAATTTAATTTATTTATTATATTTTGTATTCACAAAAGGTGTTGTGTCTTATCGTTTTTTTTTTTTTTTTGTAGATATAAAGCACAAATTTCCAACACTCTATTATGTCTACCCTTTACTGAATTAGTCCTTGGCAATAGGTATTTTCCGATTCGTAACAATTCCATACACTAATTGAATATTTCAGCAACCTACGAACTTTTTCAATTTATTGGGCGTACTATTCCGTTGTCAATAAGTGGTTCTTAAATGTTTTCGTTATTTGTGTAGCATTATGAACCTATTAATTTTTCAAACGCATCTATCACAACATTTTCTAGTATAAATGCTAATATTAATTGTAAGAGTCGTATCTGTAATGGAAATAGCAAATTTAATGTACATTTTTGACCGTATAATGGATTTGTTTTATTTTACACCAAATGGATAAGAAAAAATGAAAATTGTATTCTTTATGTTTTAAATTTGAAAATACTTCTTTAAAATGATGCATTGATTGATCCCATTTAAAATCTGACATAAATTACTTAAGTGATACAGTTGGCTTATTTTTTATTATATCGTCTAAGGAGGCGTACATATTAAAATTAAAAAAAATAAATAAAACACCAATAAAATAATACGCAATACACTCGATAATTGTACATAACTAAAGTCTATATCTTTGTATAGCCGCTATACCTCATTATAGTGTAAAGATAATGTGTATACTTGTGTTGCGTTCACCATTCACGATAAACGCCATAACGGATATTGCATTGAGTCTAGACTTTAGACAGTTGTAACTTATTACTGTAATTGACTCACATGTATCTGATTATATAGGTTACAAGAAGTATAGTTTTATTATTATTTATGGTTTTTCAACAAACATTTGATATACGTTTTTTCGCTATGATTCAGTTTTGTTAAATTTTTCCTATGACTTTGATTTACTATCTACCCTTTTGCTATTTTAGCGAGTTATCGCACATGCTCACTTTTTCATATTCATAATATTACAGTATATTGTCCTTATTATACATTACGCATAGAAATAACAAAAATCAAAAGAATATCTATCTATATATATATAACGTAAACACTGTAACTTTCAAATAAATGTGAATCGCTCGCATTATAAAGTATATCATATTACCGGCGAACAATATTATATATTATAGATAGATTTAAACGAGTCGTCGAAATTTTTGGGTTACCATCCTCGGGGAAATAACAATATTAAACGTGTATTATTTTCCACAGAGAAATACAATTACAATTCGCGATGGCTTACCGCAAGGGCCGTTTACCTGTGTTTAAATATTAGGTATGTTATAGAGTGCAATTTTTGTATTCAGTATAATATACAGGTATACCTCGAAACGGTTGCTCGCCCAGCTGTGGATTAAAGTATTAAATAATAATAATAATAATAAAAAAAAAAAATTAAAAATTAACATTTTCATTGCTAAAAATTTTAGTATTTAAAACGTACCGTTGGGATACGGTATAAAATTAAAATATATTTTTTTAAATGTATTTAGTTTCCACGAAAAAATAGAATTAACCGACCCGACAATAAACTCAATACGGACTTTTTAAATATAAAATATTGACTAATAAATTAATAAATTGGATTCTAATAAATGATTATTTAATATATATACATAAATTAAAATTAATATATATCCTTGCAACACAACATCACCTACTTCACAAAACATATACTTAATGATTACATTAAGAAATCAGTTTCTATTAAACGATGATGTTTTGAATATGTATTATACTTATGGTAAAAAAACTTAGTTATTTTTGACCACATACAGATTCAAATTTTTATATTTTTCTGTGTTTAGAATTTTCTTGTTAATATTTATTTTATTTTATTTATTCTAAGCATATAATATTTGTTGTCAATTAAGTTCAGAATTATATATATCGTCTAAATGGAAAAACTAAATAATTTAATTTATCAAACGCCAATATCACATGTATTTTTTCATAAACATAATAATTAGTAGGTCTTATAAAGACATAACTGGTTGAGTGTCTGATAAGTAATTATAATTTCAATCAATTATGCTAACTCTATTTTATATGTGGTGTTTAAAATAACGAACAATTTATAAATGTTTTAAACCAATCAAACATATATATTTTAAGCACCCATTTAAAAGTTAATAAGATTTGTTAATAACTATTTAAATACGCATAATACATATATAATTTTACAGAAAAAAATTCTTAGTTTCTATTTTTTTTCTGTAGAAGAACGGTCGATTACTTTTTCAGAATCGACATAAATGTTTCTATTTATGAGCACCTACATTAAACAATGCTAAATCGATTAGTTTATATTTATAGCAGTAGCGTTTCACTAATAGATCTAAATTATTTTTAGAGAAGAACATTTTCTTTCCGGATTTACGGTTGACACAGGTAAAGTAATCAAAACTTTTAATAAAAAATGAAATACTTGGAAAAAAGTTTCGATTACAGTTAAAATATGCTTCAAGTAGTCCGTTGTGGTATACACTGCATACGAACTGAGTCCCAATATAATCTTTTATGACAAATTGAGCCCGGGTTATTTTAGGGTGTATAGTGTATACCAATGTCCAATCGAATCCCTCGAAATTTTAGGTATAATACTAATTGAGTCTCATCAACGGTAGGTAATAATTATTATTGATACTAGCGATGGTAGAAAATATGAAATCTAAAATCCCCGGCCTATGTAATAGTTACTATATTATCTGACAAATCATAGAAATAACTTGAATGAAAAAACGTATCGTCTCCATACCTAATATATATGTATATTAAGGCACAAGGGTAGGTATATTAAGGGTTGACGGGTTGACCCTCTATAGGTACCGCCTTCTATAGCTCTATTATTATTCGTAATATTATACCAAACAGTTAACACATAGGCACACACACACACACACTATTATATAAAACTATATAGAAGCAAAAATGCCAAATCGATATTCATAAAAATATATTTTATAAAATTATTATTATAAGTTTACGTGACAAGATTATTATAAAGGAAATCGAAGAAAACAATAATGTTCCCGTAAATAACATTTAATGAAAATATTTTTGTCATACGAAATTATCACTGTATAGTCAATTGTAAAGCAAAGGATCATGGTTGAGTATAAATTGATAATGGGGGAGGGATTGTAGTGAAATCGTAAACGAGTGTGGTTTATATACATTTAAGTATTAGTGTTATTAAATATTATAGATACTTATAAGTTATAATCTTAATATATTTACATAATAAATAAAATCTGATATAATATCTACCTGTAGCATAAATATACAAACGATTCAAATTACGCTGATTATACAGGTATTTGTATTAATTGTATCGATGACATTAAAATAATTTACATTCAAATGATTTTCTTATAATATGAATAAGGTTCGTTGACAACACAATATTGTAATAGGTATTTATAATCCCATCATCAGATATATATATTTTATAGAATAATATAAATTTATTATGGAAATGGAAACATACAAAGCAATTTGAGTATAGATTTAAAATAGATTATTATAAACTATATTGGTAGTAGCATTAACTATTGCATTTTATTGTTACTTATAATATACATTTACTGTAAATAATAAAAAAAATCATTTAAAATGTGTTAAGAACGTTGTAAGTGTAAAAATCTTTAAAATTTAGAAACACAAGGTTAAAACAGTGGAAGAAATTAATGTTCCTCGAATGATTGACGGCTTTACTAACTGAAAGTTTAAACTATAAAATAATATATTATGTACAGCATACGCTACGCATATTGTTATAAATGATCGATTTAAATAAAATTACCTACTATATTTTGGAAATTTTAAGTTTTTTAGACATGGGGTTTAGTAATGCTTCTTTTGCCTATTAAATCTGTTTATACCACTGAAATCCCGTGTCGGAAAATAATATATTTAAAATACGTTATGGTATAATCGTTAGCTGTTGTGCTGAACTATTTATAAAATTTATATGGTTATATTATAAACATTTATCTAATTAACAAGCTATACCGATGCATAAGTCTGGGGTATATTTAGGTATATCGATTGGAGAGAGAGATTAAAAAGTATATATTCCATAGTATATATTTACCGCGATTATTGGATTTTATAGGAATTGGTCGCATTTGGAGTTGCTTCA